AAGATTGTATGATAAAAACCAATTTATCACTAAAATAAACTATCATATTTTGACTTCAATCCGGTTAAGACCACATTTTCTTGTTTCATCTCCCTTTGCCACCTTGTATATGAGCAAGCATGTCCAGGAAAGAATTTTCTGGATCTCCTACTCAAACAGAACTCAGAATGATTTTCTTACAATATCAAATTGCGAAAACAGAAGTCCACGTCTTGGCCTATAGATTTCATAGTGAAACTAGTAGATCAAAAAGGATCACCTCGTATCATATGCTACAGATCTCACAAGAAAGATTAATATATATCTACATTTTCACATCAAATACAACACTCAAATGCAATGTCATTATGTAGAAGACCCGCATATTCACTAATATTTGTCAGAACAGCTCCATTGATCATGACAAACAGCATGATCAAGACAGCAAACAAGCCCAACTGCTTTTGTATGACGGCAAAAAGCACTGGTCAATAGTGGGAATACGATTTAACAGCATATACTGTTATGCTGCATGTGGGAGCCCATAATGCGAAACACAACAAAAACCGAAAACTTGAAGAGCTTATATTCCTTTGATAATCTGATAGAGAATGAACTATTACCTGTCTTCATAACCTCAAAGATCATATTACAGTAATATCTGAAGGGTGATATCCTCATCACTCGACAAACATAATCTGCAAGGTGATAGGGAAAGAGCTGCAAGTAACACAGAGACGCACACAATCACCAAACTGAAGAAGATACTGACTTATGTCATATGACAGTTTCATAATGGATATTTTTCGACCGTTCCTACATGATAAAGCTGTGTTGCTTAAATATGTTCTAAGCATTTGTGAAAGCATTTGTGTTAATGACAGTAATAACAGCTGGCAGGACTTGCTCTATGACACGCACCGCCAGATTCCTTCGCAAGTAACGCATCATCTCTTCATAATATTCACCTTCTTTGAATACTTTCCGAGCAAAAGAGGCATTCCATTGGAGTCGTTTCTTGATGCAATGCTCTACTATCCTGCCAGCAGTTGTGATCCGAGCAAAAGATGGTTAAAAAACGAAATGAAACTACATACAATGAAGTAAACAAGGTCACAGAACGAGAAAAGAGGGTTTAAGGGGTCGTAGTAGGTCGCTACAATTAAGAGTACACGGAATTTCTACTAAAAATAACCCGTAAATTGCATAATGAACCAAATTGAGACAAGACAGGGGATCAAAGCAGTATCAAGTATCCTGAAGACTAGTCACTAAGAGCAGTATCAAGTATCAAGCAAAGAAACAAAGTCATTCTAACCTTCTACGCCCAATTAAGAGTACACGGAATTTCTACTAAAAAATAAGCTGGAAACTGCATAATGGACCAAATTGAAACAAGTCAGGGGATCAAAGCCGGAGGATTCCAGAAGACTAGTTACTAAGAGCAGTACTTTCTTACAACTCAAGGAACAAGCAAAGAAACGAAGCCATTCTAACCTTCTATGCCATTCCTCTTTCGAAGTAAGAGTAGCCTGAAGCCGTTTTGGAAGATTTTCCCATGGGCTCTCTTCCTTTATTGCCTTGAGAATCAATTGCTCCTCAATCGTAGCTGGAGCGTGCTGCATTATGACCACCGACAATCACTGAAGTCTCTTCCTGCAAAATACCATAGCTTTAGAGCTCAATCGTCAAACATTTCCCTCACAGTTGCTTCCATACACGCCACTATACAATATACAGCTTCAATTGAAACACTAAAAGCTGGAAATTTTTAGCCGAAAATGAATCAAGAAACTCCTCCAGCACTGCGTCATGTAGCAACAGAATAGAACAGCCCAATGGCTAAAGATAAATCAAGGAGGCTTTTTTTGACTTCTGAGAAACTAGTTCAAGAGAGAATTCAAAATTTCGCGTAACCAAAGCACATTTTCCCCCGGATCAGAAGAGTCGTCGGCGAAGGAGGAAGAAATGAGGAGAAGAAGCAAAGAGGGAAGCTACGGCACCTTTCAGCGATGGCGATCAGCGGCGGAACCGAATCAGGGGGTTTTGGGATCTAGCAGTGAAGATTGTGGATCAGCGAGATAGAATGAATAGCGTCCATCACCGATTGAGTATCTAACTCATTAATTATTGTTGTTGTGCATACGCCATGCCATAGCTGTTTCCGTATTTCGTTGTAGCAAAGGAAGGAGCCCTTCGGTTTGTTTGATTTTCTCTAATTTCAAAAGCCTTTTTCACAGAGGAAGGTGAGGAAGATCACTGACGCCGGCCGAAACTACAAGAAAGAAACCATCACATATCGCGATCCCCATTTTTCCATTCTCCGACTTCAACACGCTGACTCTCAATTTGTGATCCATGGACGAGTATGAATTTCTATGGTGTCTTTTGGCCAACTTATTCAAAGCTAACGTTTTACCAAAAAAGGTCAAAATTTCCATTTATAATATGTTAATTAATAATTTATTCAGGGTTTCAAAACTTTGTTCTATACATATCGGTGCTAAAAAAAATTAGGTTAGAAACTTATTATAATACAAAAAACTTATATTATCTACAAAATTAAGTATGGATAGTTGAGATTTGAGAAAATATGATCTAATGGTGATCATTGCCGTTTGTAGAGATGTACGGAGGGAAAGTAGAAGTTGGGTGGACAATTGGGCAGTGTTTGGAGATCGGCGTGAGTTTTTAAGCGACAATTAAAGCATTTTTCAAATCTCATACGAAAATTCAATAGACCGTATCTCATTCGTTTTACATTGGATTTTAAAATACATGTCAATTTTGAAAATGGTAAATTTGAGTTGGACAGAGTAGTTTCAAAATTCGTATTGAAGTTCTTCCGTCAACTTTCTTAGATCAATGTAGCATTATAGTGACCACCAAGCCTCCTTTGAAAACCTTGCCTAAGCCATTTAAGTATTTTGAATATTGGATTGATCATCCGAAGTTCATGGCTATCATTCAACAAGCTTGGTTGACTTGAGTTGAGGGTACTTCCCTATTTCACTATAAATTGAAAGCAGTAAAGCAAGCACTAAGGAATCTCAATAGAGAAGTTTTTTTTAGATATAGTGGACAAGTTGAGACTTTTGAAGAACCCAAAGTGCATATTTTTTAGGATTTGCAATTGTTTCGGTTAGGGGTGGGCATCCATTTTGGAAAATTGAAATTGACTCTTTTCGAACCAAATCGAATCAGACCGAAACCAAAATTCTCAGTATTCGGCTTAGAATGGGGAAGGAGAAGAGACTGGTTCGAAATTCAATTTGGAACAAACCAAACCGATGTCTGATGTTCCGAACTGAGCTTCCGAATAGAGGAAACCCAACACCATTATGGAGGCCCAACTTCCATTTACATACCCAGCCATCCTATATGGATCTGCTTCTCCAGCCAACACAACCCAACTCCAAATCAATCCCTAATCCTAGGGGTGGTAAACAGTTAGTCGGTTATCAGTTTTAATTGATAACCGAACTGATAAAGAGGCTTAGTGGTTAATCAACAACTGATAATTTCTTATTGGTTCGATTTCGGTTAGCAGTATTTTGCTTAGTGGTTAACCGCTAACCGACTAATCGAGTTTTAAATTTCTAAAGTCAAAGCGTAATCTAGTCAATCCTAACAAAGCCAAGTATAACTAAGCTATGGATGTACCTTAGACTTACTATTACTTCGCTCTGAACTACTATCTAATTTACTCAGAAGGTTGGGGGTAGAACTGACCTAACCTAACTACATAAACACAACCAATCAACTGGTTGGGAGACCGCTAGAGATCAGAGGGTTTCCTAGGGTTGACTCCCTTTAGCTATAGGTTGCTACAGGTGATAGTCTAATGGTGTCTCGAGGTGCGGAGGTCACGAAGGTGGGGATCGACCAATGGTCATGTAATCGATCCCTTTTCTAGCTAGGATAGTCGGTCCAATGTCTCCTCAATCGGGTTACCTAACTAGGGATATGTTCTACCTCCTCTAAACGACTTAAATCCGTCTGCACACAAGTAAGGTAGGTCGATGGTCACACACCTAACCTACAAGCATCCACTAGGTGAGAATCTAACTAAAAGGGGATGGTCACCTCGACCTCTCGCTAGCCCTCAAGGTAAACTAATTAAGGTAAGAGGCATTCATACACATCTAACCCTAATTAGAAGCACTAAGCACACTAGTTGAACTCAAATACACCATAAACTCATTTATATGATAATCCTCTATTATCTAGGTTGCAACTAAGGTAAATGGGATATAGACAATCACACACTAATTGGTGTCTAGAACACATTTGACCTAAGGGGATTGAACTATCGCCTAGGTTAAGAACAAATCAATCACAATCAAGTAAGAGATTTATGCACAAACATCAAATAGACATAAATTATAGGCTCAAAATCATTCATACGCATGACCCATACACAATCTATAAACTAGGGTTCATCTTTTCTAAACAACCTTAGGGATTTAAATCATATAGACAGGAAGAAAATACAAACTAAGAAGAGGAGGAGTGGTGGAAATCATCTTCTTCTCCTTGGATTGCACCTTCTCCTTGATCCTTGGGTGGATTGCACCTTCTTCTTGCACCAGCATAGTGATGGCAATTTGAACCCTCCCTGACCCGCGATGGGACAGATATTACCCGACCCGTAGTAGCATGAAGCGTGGTATGGGTATCTAGTTCCGTCAAAGTTTTGGACGGAATTGGACATTTTGTGTATTAGTGAGAAATTGGCTATTATTGTCACAAAGTCAACCGTTATGGCTATACATGTGTATTATGTCACAAGTCCACGTGGCGTCACAGTGGTATCCTCGTCAACGTCTTGTTAATGTAATCGACAGAATCTCTAATGACGTTAAAGTTTTAATGGAAGTGTCTAAATTTGTCAAACATGTTTCTAAAATCTGACATTTTATATATTTCTTATAAATTGGCTATTATTGTCACAAAGTCGATAGTTATGGCTACATAAGTGAATTTTGCCTATAAAGAAATAAGTAAGACTAAACTAACAACCTAACTCTTTCAACTAATTATCATAAGACACCGGCAACGACGCAAAAAACTTGATCGCATCTTGATTGACCTTTAAATTTCTAAAGTCGAAGCGCACTCTAGTCAATCCTAACAAAGCCAAGTATAACTAAGCTAGGAATGTAGTAAAGTAACTAAGTCGTATTCCAAGGAAATATTAGGAGGCTTACTATTATTTCACTCCGAACTACTATCTAATCAACTCAAAAAGTACCATATTTTGGGTTAGCGGGGGATTTCCACGACTGGAAGGGGTAATTCTCGCCTTCAAACGCGTAAGCCAGGAGCTTCCCCCCTCCTTTGATCGACAATAAATTTAGGAGCTTCTGGTACTTTTTGAGTTGATTAGATAGTAGATATTGAATATGTTGCCGATGGCCATAAATGGTTCGGACGAAGTTGTCGATGGAGGAGTAGATATTAAATACGTTGAGGATTCTCCAAGGGAGGTGGTGAGATAATTCAAGTTCGGAGGAGGATAGGGAAGGCGGACATCGGTCGAAGGCTCGAAGCAGAATCTCGAGTTGGAAGGTAAAAAAACATGGGTAGGCGGAAGAAGTAATGGTGGTGGGTATGTCATGGGGAAAACCGCAGTCACAACAGGAAGGGACACTGGGAGAGAAGTGACAGCAGGGGTTCAAGTGAAAAGAGGAGATTAGTTTAGATTTCTTTAATTATCAATTGTTTTTGGATAAGCCAAAAATTAAAACAAGATTCACAGCAAATGAAGAGCAATTTGATCTTTTTTAGCTCATTTAATGACCACTTAAAAGATAATTAGACATAAAGATAAGTTTGTTACGTTTTAATACTAGAAGGGTATGTTCGTGCAAAAAATTAGTAAAGGGGTACATTTGTTAATTTGTAAAAATAAATGAGTACAAAATGCTATTAACCCTTAAACCTTTCCTACTGCCAAGTCAAAGCTAAGGCCAGTTATGCCTTCAATGGCAAGAACTGCGAATATTCGAACAAGAGCTTCAGCTAAACCCAAGATCGAAGAGTCGACAAGAGGAATCACAACTAAAATCTACCAAGTTTAGTTTTCTCGGTCTTTATGGTTGCGTTTGGTGTGTCTTCGTACAAGATCGAAAAGAGGGCTTTTAATTTTGAAAGCAAGAAGAAAGGTTGGCTTCAGGGCCACGGGGTTTGGTCTGTGATTTATTCATGGATCGGAGATTGGGTTTGAATTTTAGGTCCGACCAACGGGAGGCGATTGGTTAGACCATTTTTGTCCCTACACCCCCTCACCAGGACCATTCACAAGCTCCCATTCTGGTCCCGTCCACCGACTGGAATAACAAAGCTTGCCAAATAAATGAGCGAGTCATCCCTCGCTTGAAAATAAAGGATATTTTTTTCATTGCCTCGACTCAACCCTAAGTAAGGAGTGTGCAAGTCTAGTTGTCCCTCTGAGCCACTCCATAAACATCGTTAATCAATAGGTTAGTTACCATGTTCGGTATAGACAGAGAAAGTATGGAATGAAAGTGACACGATAGCTCTAACAGAAGCAAACTGTCAAGAGGGATTAGTGCAGTCGTCATCAAGTGACCAATAAACATATGGGACTCACATCTAAGGAGGGAATTTGGCCACAACTTTAGGACCCCTCTTCCCACCCTTCTTACCATCGTTCTTGTCAGGAGCTTGAAGCTTGATTGAAACACCCTCTCCCAAGGAACATAGTGCTTCAAAGGCATACTCAACAGGCAGGTAACGCAGTTGGCAAAGTGGCGTTAAGCATAGCGGTACGAAAAGAGAGGTCATGATGATATCATCTACGTTCGTACCACTCCTCGTGGAGTAGATCCCGCATCCAACCAGGTCTTTGACCAGGGAACTGGAGAATTCCCACTACCATCGGTAGGCTAGTCGAGATGTGAGCACGATGGGAACAAACTTCCCAAAAAGCTAGCCTGGGCCGGGGTCAGCATAAAATGAAGGGGACGGCCCCTCAGAGGTACACTATATGGATAAGTTATTGCGTGATTTCGATATATCAATAAGGGCCTTAAAAAGAGGATATTAGGTAGACGACTTCTGTTATTCAAGAGTTCTCACCTCCTACTTCCCCCTTTGCTGTAAAATATGTGGGCGTCTCTTTTGCTCAAAGTTTTAAAAAGAGGATTTTTGTCTACGGATGTTGCTAATGGATCAACTTGATGAGTCCTTGAATCTGAATGCTCTGGAACCCCAGGCAAGTAAAGACAAAAGCGACTTCCCCACCATTGACTGACCTCTCTGGTCGGATGTTACAGTCGACTCTACTTCTTAGTCAACCAGTAGTCTTTTATTTGAAAATTGCTTTCACATCTCATATGACATTTGTACCAACAGACTTCTTCAGATACCAGTAAGGTAAGTAGCTACTCCAGCGAGTAAATCCTGTCATCCTTTACAGCAGACCAAACAGTAAAGAAATCAAACATTCTTACTTATTTTACTCCCAAAACTAACTCTGACCTCTATTCTTCCTACTTTCCTTCTTCCTTTGACATCTTTCCGTCTCTCTCGCTCTCTTCCCCCACCCATCATCGTCTCAACCAATGCGGACACCAGTATCAACATGGCCGATGATGAGGAAGAGAATCACATCCTCTCTTTCAAGTTCTTCGTCGACAATAACATCCTCCCTTTCCGACTCAATTTACAGGATAGTACTTCAGACACTCACGCTAGTCATTGCCAACTCAATCGGGATTTTTGTTTGGAGAATCCAGCCAAATCCAAGTTTGAATCTGTGTTTTCTAAATCGATGCCTCTCTTTCTCTCGCCATGGATACACAAAAGAAGACCTAGATTGTTGCTTCTTCACTCTCTAAACTCGAGGTGAATCTGATCGATTCTGGGCTTTGTTTGGCAAATTCGGCGACAATGAGAGTCGAGAAAGAGAAGAAGCAGAGTGAGTGGAATGCTGCCGTCGGGAATCATGGCATGCCTCTGTCTCAGATCATGTTGTCTCTGCCAAATGAACTCACCACCGTTCGCTTCATCTCTCTCGGCGCCGGAGAATCCATCGCTCGTCCTCCCTGAAAAAAATCCATCATTCTCGTTGAAGAAAAGATACTAAGGGGTCGTTTGGAAGTTACGATTGTTAAATAGATGTACTGTTGAGAATGCATGTATAATACTATACATGTATTGTCGAATTTGATGCATTGTAGAATACAACGTTTGGTATGTGTGATTGTGTATGTCGCATAAGCTAAAAGCTGAGACAAAACAATCTCAACTCAACTATCTCAACAATCACAACTAAAAGTTGAGATATAACAATCACTCAAAATGAGTGATAGTTTCTCTTACATCACAGAAACAATCCATGTATTGTTTCTGCTAAAAAAACAAAAAAACGATGCATTGTAAACAATACATGCATAATGACAATCTCAACAAAACAATGCATTGTATAAGTCATTTGGAAGTTGCGATTTTTAAATAAATGTATTGTTGTGAATGCATGTATAATATTATACATGTATTGTCGAATTTGATGCATTGTAAAATAATGTTTGGTATATGTGATTGTGTATGTCACATCAACTAAAATTTGAGACAAAACAATCTCAACTCAACATCTCAACAATCACAACTAAAAGTTGAGATATAACAATCACTCATTTTAAGTGATAGTTTCTGTCACGTCACAGAAACAATATATATATTGTTTCTGCTAAAAAATAAAATAAAAGCGATGCATTGTAAACACAATTCTAGCATATTGGACATTTGAACAAGGCCCACTCCATAGCCCAATTCGAAAACTTGGTGATGCGTTCGTTCCGGCCCATTGCCGATCGTTCTAAATTGGAGTTAACGAGGGAAACGGCTAAGGATAACGAGAAAACCAGAAACAAGCAACTGCGCGCCCGCGCCGGCACTCTCGCAGCTTGAGTTCTTGCCTGCCTACCTCCACTGCATTCCTCTTTCTCCACCTTCCGCCTCCGCCTCCGCCTTCGTAAGTTCAAAGTTTCTTCTCCCTCATTCACATACATTAATTATATTATCATCTCCTTTCTCTTCTTTACTCTGTTATTCGTGGGCAAATTTCCTGAAGCTCTCTTCTTCTTGGCCGCCTTAGACAAAGGGGACTGACTGCCGTAGACTCGTACGACCGAACCACCAGCGAAACTAATTTACACCATGGCGCTTCGTTTCGATGTAACGACCTCTTATCTCTTCTCTGGTAGTTTCACTCGCAATGTACTTTTCCCAGTTCTCCATTTCTCATGGTCTTCACCTGTTTGAAAAAATGCCTCCAAGACCCTCGAATTTTCTTGCTAGATTGTGCTGCAGGAATTTCCAACTAGGATTAGAATCATGTTGATTCAGCGTAAAGGCTTACACTTTTGAACTCTGGAATACACGTTATGCATTTGCCGTTATGGATGTAGAGGAGGGGTGAATCATAAATCTTCAATCCCATCCCTGCTTGTAGGTTCTGGCGAGGTTTAATCGTGCTCGTGCAGCTAAAATGACGCTCCCTCATTTTGTATGTGAGACACCATTGTTCATGCCTGTAGGAACGCAAGGTCGGGATTTTCTTTTTTTTCGAAAATTGAGCTATACCCAATTCGTTGTGATCAAGGTTCAGATGGTTTAACTTCCTTTATTGTTGGTCTTCTCATGGTTGCAGGGACAATTAAAGGTTTGACAACTAGCCAGCTTGAGGAGATTGGCTGTCAAATAATCCTTGGGAACACATATCATTTGGCACTACGTCCGACCTCTGAGCTTATAGATGAATTAGGTGGTCTTCATAAATTTATGAATTGGCCTAGAGCACTGCTTACTGATTCTGGTGGCTTCCAAATGGTTGTTTGATCTGTTATTTATTTCCTTCTGGTTTTGTTGTTTCACTTCTGGTTCAGTTGAAGTTTATCTCATTAATTACCTATGTATACAGATGCTTCTTGTTTATCTATATAGCTATGGGGTTATTGACTTCAGGTGTCGCTGCTGCATTTGGCTGATATAACCGAAAATGGAGTGACATTTCAGGTACTAAGCTAAGATCTTCACATGCTTTCAGGTGTCTTGAAACGACTAGATGTGACTTCCTCAAAACATGTATGTTCATTTGTAAAACAAGAATGCCTTTTCTTGCTGGTAGTGATTACAGAATCACAAATGTAACACGTAAGCTTATGTGTGGTAACTAACCATTTTTACAGAATGCTGTCACTTTCTTATTCGGAGTCTTTACAAATAACTTATGTGCACTATAACTTGGGTGTTATTTTCCCGTAAATAAAGTCTTTTGTATTACTGATTTTGCTTCTGTCTGTGCATTGCTGTCAAGCCTGGGAAGCAAACTGTTTCAGTGAATCTTCTGATTGTTTGTGTCACCCTTTACAATCCTCATTATATGAGGAACTGTCTTCCTTTGCTGCTAACTACTCATTTTCTTCCAGTCTCCAGTGGATGGAAGCCCCATGCTCTTAACTCCTGAGGAGTCGATTCAAATCCAAGTAAGAAGGTTTTGCACTCTCCCTTTCTGCCTGGCATTGTCATAAAATTTGGATGAAAATTCTCATTGTTGCAAGTTAACAGCTTAGCAGATTCTAGTTATTGTTGCAGCAATTTATCCTTCACTAGCCCTATTTGATATATAGGATCTGTAACTGCATAGTAATGTTTCTGAGAAAGCCGTTATCATTTCATGAAAGAGTCAGGATTTTGTACCCTAAGAATGCCCAAGTCAGCCATTACAGAAGATATTTTCCAGGGAGTAGGAATAGGACAGTGCATGTCTTACTGCTCACTAAAGTTCCCGGCACTTTAGGATCTATATCCAGTCCTTCTGTTCTTATTCTGAACATCTTATGCGACTTCTCTCACTATAAAGAGCCGTATTTCAAAAGATAATAGTTGCAGAGAGGGGGATTCTTTGTTCTTTGGTTTAATTAAAGAGCAAACTCGAACCACCGCACATTGGGTTCAAATTTAAGAATTTAGGTCCAAAATCATCTATAAAAAAGGGCAAACCTGATAAGGTGGGAGAAACTAAGAGCAGAAATATTGCTATTGATGAATTTTGCAGAACAAAATTGGTGCAGATATCATTATGGCTCTCGATGATGTAGTAAAAACCACCACTACTGGACCAAGGATTGGGGAGGCAATGTATCGCACAATTCGATGGATAGACAGGTGCATTGCAGGTAACTTCTTTGAGGCTTACTTGTCAGTTTTTGTTATTGCTCAAATATAAAGTAGTTAGTGACCATCATATCCAAGCCGTAGCTTTTAAGTTTATATACCTCATCTATAGCCCTGATCACCAGTGCGAGAGATTGTTCGGCCCTTACTTTTGGAAGTTGAATGTTTAGAGTTTGTTACATCTCATAGTGATAGTGGGCTTTCAGTAAAGACTGAACCAAGAGCATTCATCCCTAGCTTTGACCATTTCAGTTCCTGTCCAAATGCAACCAGATTAATAGTTTGTTGTGAAACCTCTTTCCCTGGATGCTCATCATCTGTTGTTAAACTTTTAAATCATCTTCCTTTTCTGTCCGTTTACTTTTTCCATCACCCTGAGAATTCCATCTTGCTTGGTTTCAACTTCGGATTGATTTATTTGAACAGCTCACCAGAGACCAGATGAACAAAACTTGTTTGCCATTGTTCAAGGTGGTCTGGATCCTGTGTTAAGGTTAATTTGCCTGATTCTTCAACAACTAACTTGATCTTTTCTATGGCATTGTTTCTCCCATTTCTGTCTGTAAAAATTACTGATGATCCTTCTGCTGAAATGATCAGGGATATATGTGTTAAAGCCTTGACAAAACGGAACTTACCTGGGTATGGCGAAACGATATTTGCATTTCCTTGTATTCCTTTCTCTACTTCTGGCACTAATACTGTGTGTTTACCATCAAGCAACTAACTGTCTGATGTCACATTTTGTTATAGCTATGCCATTGGAGGTCTTGCTGGCGGGGAAGATAAAGATTCATTTTGGCGTGTTGTTGCTCAGTGCACTGCTGCATTGCCTGAAGACAAACCCCGATATGTGATGGTACAGTAAAGTTTTTTCTCAGTACATTACTTGATAGCAAAGGTTTCACTCACACACTAACACACCCACTCAGGTCAAGTATACGATAAGACTATCCACAATAGGTGGGGAAAAAGTGACAGTCTAGGGCGGCCCTGGAGCCACAATAGGAGAAAGAGCCAAAAACCTGTTTAGGAAAAAATCAATTGAGTGTTGATTTTGTCACTTTACCTAGATAATTCCATCATTATTTTAATGTAGCTAATAATAATTAATTATAACGAACATTTCGATGTATTTTTTTTTTAATTCTGAGAATTTTATTCTTGGGAATGAGCTTCCCAGAGTTTGACTGGGTTGCTGAGAAAACAAAGACGAGCACACATCTGTGAGTTGTGTATTCTTTATTGTGAACAAAAAATAACAAAATAATATTATCTTTATCTTCCAACCAACTTAGTGGATGCAATGGTTCGTTGAGTGTAGAAAACCAAATATCCAACCAACCAGAATAAGTGCGATGATTGATTGGTTGTAGCAAATAAAGAGAGAAACACATCACTAAATTTTAAAAATAAAATAGTTTACCTCTCTTCTCCCAAGCCCCATAGGTAGTGATGACTTTGGAAATTCAACTTTTATTCCCTCTCTTGCCAATACCTAATTAATTAGGATGCAAACACTCTCAAATCAACATAATAATACCTAAGAATAGGGGTGTGGAAGTACCTAATTTAGGTGCTATTTCTACTCCTAGCTTCTACTTTTGTTGGTCATTAGTTTTGCTTTTTCATGTTTCAGGGTGTTGGCTATCCACTGGACATAGTGGTTTGTAGTGCTCTAGGAGCAGACATGTATGATTGTGTGTATCCCACTCGTACAGCTCGTTTTGGCAGTGCTCTTACACCAGAGGTGATACTTTCTTGATTCTTAAGACATATATTTCCTAATAGTTGCTAGTACACTACCTACTTGACGCGATGCTCCATGTATTATAATATTTATTTATTGATTTTATTCAGATCTATGTTCTTCCTGCATGTTGGAACTTTTCAGGGCGCTAGGCTTTCATTGATTTACACTATTTCTTGTACATGGCGGGTAGCTATGGACTTGTTCTCTTGCAATGTGATCACTGTAATGGACTGATAAATGGATTGCATTGAAATTCAAGGCAGTACATTGCTTTTGGTTCTAGACCAAATAGCTCAGCAATATTATTTTCTACGCGGAACTCTATGAAGGTTTTCCAGTGCCTCCTTTCGGCATTCAATACCTAATTGAACTGCATTTATAATCTTCTATGTTTATTGGTGAATCACATTTCTCTTTCACATTGAAGCCATTCGAAGTCTCTTGATTAACAAGAAAATTGATTTGAACATCTTGTCTGTGGGGGCCCCCCTGCTCTGAGCCCCAAAATCAAACTTTGTTCATTGCGCTAATTATAATCTTTGATTCTGGTATAATGTAACCAACTTCTTTGTTTCACACCAAAAATTACTCTAGTGTATCGTAGTAAAGAGGTAGTATATGTTTCTTTTTCTTCCTGGGGTAATATTGACCACATACTATTCTAGGCATGTAGTCTAGCCCAGCACTGAAATGGTGTGCACAATCCCTAAGCTCCTACTCTTATGTAACACCTGCAGGGAGTGCTCAAGCTTAGACACAAAGCAATGGCAGAAGATACTCGTCCTGTTGATCCCACTTGTGCTTGCATGGTATGATAGTAATGCAGAATTTGCGTCTTCCCAGTTGTGGAAAGTGATTGCTAATGACTACTCTGCTTTTACTGTGGGGTGTAGGTCTGCAGAACCTATTCACGGGCGTACATCCATTCCCTTGTCACAAAAGATGCCATGGGGTCACAGCTTCTGTCATATCACAATCTGTATTACATGTTGCAGGTATATTCCGGAACAAAAAAAATCATGTTTATTAACCATCCTGGTGATTTAGTAATAATACTCTTCTGTGCTTTCAGCTGAGTAGAGACCTACACTATTCAATCATACAAGGAAGATTTCCGGAGTATGTGCTTGTTTCTAGTTTCCTGCTTCCCACCACCAAAAAGACTCTGTTCTCTTTCATTTACGTTATTGTTATTCTGAAGTGAAGAAATGCATGCTAGTATGTTACACAATTGACTGCTCAGTTCTAACATATATTGGTTCCTGTTCTTCTCTGTTTGACTGTTTCTGCACATTTAATAGGTTTGTCTGCGACTTCCTGAAGAAAATGGTGAGTTCTGACAGCCACCTTAACTATGATACTCAAATAACAGACGTCTTCCTTCCCATGGAAAGTTGAAGATGTTTTTTGCGGGCGCTTTTTTTGCATAGGCTTCATATTACAGAACCGCTGTTTGTTTGTTTTTGCAGTTTCCTAACGGTGACGTCCCCAAGTGGGTCTGCAATGCCATGGAGGTTGCAGAAATTGATATTGGAGCTTGTTAGCCACCATCCTCGTCCGAAGCAGAGGTAGGTGATAAAATGGTGTTTTTGGTTCCTGCATGCGGTCGGTTTGGTTTTTGGATTTCATGGTTGGTTAAAAATGGATATTCTTATTTCTGTAGGTTTCATGGGTTAGGTGTCAAAATGGATTGAAGTGCAAATTGAAATCCCGTAAGCATGTTATATCCGTTTAAGCGGATCTAGTGCATTTTGTTAAACTAAGCGCCTGCCATTTTCCCAGAGCAACTGCAAATTTTTTTTATACTCAAGATAGCATGGGAGACTCTTAAGAAATCTTTAGCAGCATTGTTTTGTCTCTAAGTGCTCTTAAGTTCATTGTGACATTGTGTAACATCCGTGGTACCTTATCAAATTTTGTGCGTTGCTCGAACCACTTGTTAATTAACTGGAAAAATAGTTGAGATGAAAAAAGTAACAATGCAACAAAAATTGGAGTTTTGTGGTTAAGTTACAACAAAATATATTTAAGCGTCTAGCATGCAACAAAATTTTTATTAAATTTAAGCAGGGATGGCAATGGATCGGGTTGGGGCGGATAGTGGATTCACGTCGGATGGAGAGTGACCAAACGTGAATGGTTTCAGTAAACTGGAGTACCACCAATGGATTTAAATATTTTGAGTGACCAAACTTGAACGTTTTTTTGTAATCTCAGTGACCAAACTTGAACGTTTTTTTGTAATCTCAGTGACCAACTATGCAATTAACCCTTTTTGTCATTCCTAAATTTTGCTGAATCGCTATTCGTCGCCCTAAAATTCAAATTTTATCGCCCTAAAATGTATCACATTGACACTCTTACCCTCCACTTTCAGTCCCGTTTCTAACCAAAACCCTACAATCCCTTGCCTTGCCCAGCCGCCACGGAGCTCGTCTGTCTTCCGGCCGCTGCTGTCACTGTCAATTCTTCTCTCGCCAGCTGCCCACCTCAACCCGACTGCCACCGGTGCTCTGCTTCTAGTACCGTTGGAGTCGAACCCAAGCAGAGGAGGAAGAAGACGAAGAAGGAGGCCACCGCTTCCCTATTGTTGCTGCCGGATTCTTCTGTTGTTGAACTGCCCCTATGCAATATGGAGCAGGTAGCCAATCCTCCCACCATTTTTCGGCGGGTCTGCTTTGCATTTTTTTCATTTGTATAATTGAAACTTGTAATTTAATAATTTGTTTTTGAATATTTTATGTTTTTATTGTGTATACTTGTATGCATTCTTTTAGTGTTTATATGTTTTGAAAAAACCAAAAATTAAGTTAAGGATATTTACGTCATTTTAATAAAATTTAGAGCGACGAATAAAGTGTTTTAGGGCGACGAATAGCAATGCCCTTTGCTATCTGGTGTAATTAACCCCATTGGACTTCACTTGGGCTAATGACAAAAAAGCTCGAGCTGCTGGGCTTCCCTTGACAATTATTTCCAGATCAGGGCCCATCTGAAGTACTGTATCCTCCTTCCCCAACCGAACCTTAAACCCTCTCTGCCTTTCACCCCTGCGGCCATCTGCTGAATAGCAGAACTCTATACAGCTTCTGGGAACGTGTAGCATCAGAGCTTCGCTCGACAATCGATTGCGGTCGGTCCTGTAGTAGCTTCTACCAATCGAGGAATTGGGGGCATGCTTCGTTGCTGGGATTGATAAACATAGTTCTTCTTCAGATCGAAAATGCCGTTGGGTCTTATAACGGGGATTGCAAGAGCAATGAGGAGGAAGCGGCCGTCGTCGCTTGACATTCTGTCCTCCAAACGAGCTCCGCGCAATTACTACAAGGGCAAGAACTGCAAGCCTACTGGTTTCCACACCCGTAAAGGTGCGCCTTCTTCGTCTCTTTTCAATTTCGCCTCTGTTGCTTCCTTCAGTCTAGGTTTTCTCACTGGTTTTGCTTCGCGATTCTAGGGTTTACTGCTTGCGAGTGTAGTGGCATAGGTTGTTTCCCTAAATTGGATCCCAGTGTGTTTGAACGAGAATTTTCCCCTCTTCAGTGTGTTTGTTGGTTAGAATTTGGACTGAGCCGTTGAGGTGCATCTTGTCACAAAGCAATGTGCTCCAGCTTTAAACCACATTGTTTGGTGGATTGCGTTTGGCAATATCGTGTCACTGCTGTTGAATATGTGCATTGCCAATTGTGGGGGGTTTTGTACGAATTCGCACCACAGTTTTCTTTTCCAATAATTGAAGTTGCATGATTTTGAAGAAAGCTAAAGCATATGCATCGACTTATGAAAGAACCCTTCTGCAGGTGGTTATGTTATCGTGCCGGAGAAGTTGCCCAACTACGTAGTCCCTGATTTGACGAACTTCATGGTAAAATTTTCTGCTCTTGGTGCCCGTTTTTCTAACAGTGAATTTGTCGAGATTTTGTATGGGGAATTGTTGAATTGGAGCTGTGGTGCTAAGATATTAGAGCTTTCTTGATTTCTTGTGTTTGTGAAGACATGTCTAGGCTGGTACAGCCAACCTAAAAATCTTTTTATAAATGTGTGCTATTAAGTCACTTGGAGGTTTCTTTGCTTCAAATTTATACGAGGTTGAAAGCCAGTAGCCATTGTAAGATTTAGCTGTCATGTGCAATGATGCGCATTTGTGTAGGGATAGTTATGTAAAGTAACTGCTATGACTTTGTAACCCCTCCCAATTATACTTGATGCTGCAGCTGTATGATGTAAATTTATTTTCATGCTGTTTCTCTCCAGTCACTTCTCAAACTCAGCTGCGGTTTATATATGAAGACATTTTACCCATGTCACACATATTTCTTTTGCAACAGTTGTCTGATGATATTGTTTGACTTAAAGGAATTCAACAAGATCCCTATGAAAAAAATTATTTTTAAAATAGGTCATTCTGCTATTTGAATTAGTTTTTGGGATCGTTTATCGATCAAACATTTTATATCTTTCTAGCTGAAGTTATCTGTAAATTCAGGCACTAAATTCCCTTGCAATGATGCTAGAATTAGATCAGCATAAAGATTTTTTTCAAAGAAACAAGGGCATGCTCTTGTTCTTGTAGTATCCAGCTACCATGGAATTCCCTAGCTATTAGAGAAATTCAGATATAGACGCTAAAAGAATCATGCGAAGAAGATGAACTTTATTAGAAATCCGACTTATGACTTGGATGTTTTCCCTTTAGCTGTTTTCACTTCTCAAGTTTATCTTTGAGGATCTTTGAAGGCAGGCTCTGTCTGATTTTGAGGATGTTTGGAGGTCAGTCTCATTCTGATTGCTAACGGAGATAATGTTTCTGCCTTGGTTTTCAGCTCAAACCGTATGTATCTCAGTGCCCAATAGAAGTTTTGACAACAGAAGCTTCAGAACCGATCAAATAGAGGAACCTGACGACTTGTCGTCCAAGGCATCGAGTATCTCACTCAGTCTCTACAAGTGTGATTTTCAAACCGATTTGCAGGGCGTATAACTGTTGCAATTGTGTTCCAAGGTTATTTAGAATTAGATTGGTGAAAATTAAGATCTGTTGGTCGTTCCTCTCAGTCCTTTGGTATATTGGTGAGGCATGACTTGTTTAGTGCAGAATGATTACCGGAAATATTTTTACTGTTGGTATTATTTGGACAAACCTTCCTTTTACGTGGTTCAATGTTGAGAGTGCCCCGTACGGTGGACATGTATATAAAAACCTAGTATGCCTCGTGATTGTGGATCAATAAATTGAAATGGGAAGAAGTGATGTCCAGGGCCTAAATCAAAACAAGATCGTGTGTTTGTTTACAGGCTTGTGGTTGAAAAAGTCAGTGTTGTGTTTTGCACATACTCCATGAAATCGTATTGTACTGGTGGTTCAATCACAAAATACCAGTATTGGAAGTTAAACCGGTAGGTTATATTTAACGATACTAAGGGTTGAACTACCGTTAAACCACGATTTTGTTATAAAATACCCTATCGCTGACTTTTCCGATATGATCTTCGGTACGGTTTCATGGACCATGATTTTGCATAATGAAGTTGGCTTGTATTTTGCTCCTAACAACTGGAAATGAGAGAACAATAGAGCATGTTGGTAAGTTATGTTCCAATAATTGTGAAACCGTATCAAGATTGTACGGGAAAAATTTGAAAAGAAACTAAGGCACAAAAGAAATGGCACTCGCGGGTTGGATTTTTTTCCAGAAATACCACTTAATTTTTTTTCCAAAATTACCATTCAACTCGGAATAATTCCAAAAATACCACCATTTAAAGAAAACCACTTGGGGAAGGTGCGATTTAAAGAAGAACCACTCACTGGGGAGGCATTTTTCATTAGGGAGGCCGACAAAACGCATGGCAACATGGCGGCTCGCAGAACCGTCGGATGAAGGCGCGATCCGACGGAAGACTGCTTGCCAGCTCACCGATCCGCGTAGGGGATAGGGAACCGCTCCTCCGTAGCGCGTTTTGCGTTGGAAAACATAAATCGTTGGCGGGGAGAACAATTTTCATTTTGTGTAAAATGCCCAAACCGCCCCCTAGCATGCGGTCTGTGTGCTATATAACCCCCCCCCCCTCCTCTCCTTCATTCTTCACCCCAAAACCCCTTCTTCTCTCTCTACCCATCCCCCCACCACCCAAAAATCTAGGAAATAGTGATCTGTTGGTTTCGGCTAAGTCCGAACTGTTATCAGAAAACATTTCTTTTGGTTTTCCTTCAAACCCCGTCGAATCTCTGTCTGGCTAACTGAAAAAATGGATTATTGGTTCAAAGAAAAGGGTATTTATTATGACGACTATCAAGCGGTACATACTCATTTTACCAAAATTTTGTTGTTGTTATAATTATTTTTATTTAATCTATATACTAATAAATTTATGTTGTTGTTGTGCTATCATAGGTTGAGGAGGACGTGGATATATACAATCAAAGATATTATCTTGATCAAGGACAAAATGATCCATCCGTGCTATACGACCAACCTAACCATCGTTCAAGGGATGTTTGGAACGATCACAAGGTACATATAATTTATCATCATTTGTCATTTTTATTTTGTTAACATAAGCTAGTGGTTTGTAAAATAAATTTGTTAATTGTTAATCGTATTGATGATTTTCAATTATTTAGGATAATACAATTCGCCACTTACTTAGACCCTTTATAAAGAGATGCATGCCTAAGGAAATGAGGTCTTAAGCGATAATCATGATCCTCACATTTTCTAGGAAAATCGGATTTTAGCGATCCTCGGATCCCCCTTTTTCTGTAAAAAAAGTTGTGTTTCTAATGAAATGTATATCTCTTCTAAGAGTCTAACGAGTGTACTTGTATTGCTTTAAATTATTGAAAACAACAAATACGATTTACAAAATAATATAATGGATTTATGTGTATGTGTACAAAATTAATTTTATTTAAATTTTGAAATGATATTCATTTTAGTTAATTGAATATGTTTGTTTTACTAAATTATGTATATATCTTGGAAAAAACCTTGATTTTGTTAATTTATATTGTTTTTTATAATAGATTTATATATTTATAAATTATAAACTTATGGTGAAAGTTATATTATTCGTTAGGATGCACACCATATAGTCCGCTATAGGGGTAAGAGCAATGTGCTCCCATGGAACGACACCCTCTTGCCCTTTCTAAGAAGAGCAAGATTGGATTCGATTAGGAACTTTGTAGGGATAAAGATCGACCACCAACTCATCACAACATTGGTGGAGAGATGGCGAAAAGAGACACACAACTTCAACTTTCGTGACGGCGAGTGCACCATCACACTGAAGACATCGCCACCCTAACCGATTTGCCCATCAATGTCGATCTTGTGTGTGTGGACGATCATCCACCACCTTCATATGTTGACGAGATGAGCGGTTGGCAGTATTTGCTATGGACCGACCACCTTGGCTTTGTTAGTCCCAGAAAAGGGACAAGGAGAAGATGAGGAGGATGTTAATGCACCATTGAGGAAAGACAAAGTATTCATCACTTGGTTCACAACAGCGATCAAGAGGAAGCACGACCCTAATGAAGAAGGCATTCCCTCGCCGAGGAAAGTGAGGAGGTGGTCAAGGAAATTTATCCTTGTGTCTACCTCATCGACATGATTGGAAAAGTGTTCTTCCCCCAAAAATCCAACAACTTAATCAACAATGGATGGCTGAAGATCCTCCTTGGTCCGTGGGAGGCTATGGGAACCTGAGCTGGGCATCCGCTTGCCTAGCTCATATCTACTGTTTCCTTTGTAACGCAACTCCGAGAGCGGTGAAGGAGATTGATGGGGAGATGTTCATTATCCATTTTTGGGCTTGGGGGCATCTGCTATGGATTGCGCCGATTACAGAATCTGACAAGGCATGGGGACCCGACCAATTCCATAGACTCCAAGCTTATGGTTGTAGGTAAACTTCTCCTATCCACTCATACCAATTGCTTTTGTTGTTGTACTTCATGATTTGATAGTACAATAGTTAGTAAGTTATAGCATTGTATGATTGTCCTCATGAATAAGGTGGATTGGTCAAACAACATGCGACAACCTCATCAAGCACAAGCTCGAAGAGTATCGTAGGAGGCTAGATCATGTTTGGGAAGCCGAGGTAACCATTATAATACATCTACTTCATTTGCTATTTTCGACGTGCATTATTATATTTATTGAATGGTTAAATTTTTTCCTCTCCTTTGTAGCTAATATTCGATCTGTACCCTGACAACGTCATTCACCATCACGTCCATAAATTCCTGTTTCATCTCGGTCAATGGTGCACGTGAGTCCCACTCATTTGTCACCATATTATGATGTGGCACTTGCCGGATCGATGCTTACAACAATTTGGTCGTGAGAAATGCTTACCCTTAGAGGTCCCCGCAAGTCAAAAGGCGTACCATGAGAAAGATGGCTGGCAAGGTGCTTGTGATTGGCCGCACAAGTTGAGGGACTTCATCGAGCTGTGGAACCATAGGCAAGCTGTCTGCACTAACATAGCCTTCCTCTTTTTCATCCTCAGGGTCACTAACTGGACCTGGCAGGGCATCTTCTATCTGATCCTGATCATGAAAGGCACCTTCATAAGCTTCGTAATGGTAGTTGTGATAACTATCGCTGCCTGCATGGAAGTTGTACTCGGGTTGGTACTGGTAGCCTTCTTGTTGGTTGTCATGTTATCATTGGGCTTCTTCTTCATATTATGGGAAGGATTGATGATGACCTCCACCTCCTTCTTGGTACTCATGGTAGGAATGAGGATCATGGTAACCTTGGTAGGGATGATCTTCATATAATCCACCTCCACCATGGATAGCAGATGTTTGGCCATCTCCAAAATGACCTCCACCGCCTTCGACCACCTCGGCGTAAACAAACATCTCTGCTTTGGAAAGGTTATCGGCGATCAAAATTCGACCATGGCATCTACTTCCGCCTAAGGGGTTATAAGGAATTCCTCATGCCACAATGACCAGCCTTGCCTGTTTGGATATCGATACACCATACGATCAACTCTCCTCGTGCCATCCATGCAAGTAACTGCTACACATTTGATGGAGCTCTTCAAGGTTCGATCTCGTAATGACCTTCACTTCACCGACGTAACGTACCCCCTTTCCGGTCTTTTTCGTATCACCATTCCACTGTAACCCAAGTGTGACCTTTTGGAATGTCATCTGCAATAATACCATAAAAATCACAAATCACAATAAAAAGTAATACAAAACAAACTTACGAAGTAACGTTAATCGCAAAATCTCAAAAAAGTAGGATGCAAAACATAAATTTGAAGAAGAATAAAGAGAGGGGTGAAGAGCTGAGGTCTCCGGGGCGGCCTTTTATAGGCAAAATGTCCACTGAAAACCGCTAGGGGAGGGGGGGGGGGCGGTTTTCACCTGACATGCAACCCCCCCTCTGCAACCCCATGCATGCTGACATGTCGGCTGTCGGGGGGATGGGGACTACATACAAACCGCCGCCCCCACAGGCGGTTTGTGTGTCGTCAGCTCAAACTGCCTGGTAATGAAGCAGTTTCTATTACCGACAAAGAACCGCCGTGTTAAAAAGCGCTTTTCATCTAGGTCAGCCATAGAACCGCCCTTGGAGGGTGCGGTTTGTGCTGGAAATACAAATAGTATGTTTACCAAGCAATTAATTAACAAACCGCCTTCCCATGCGGCGGTTTTCATGAAATAGTGGTGTTTTTGGAAAATTTTCGAAAAATGTGCTGTTTTTGGAATTTCATTTTTTAATGGTGGTATTTCTGGAAAAATCCCTCGGGTTTATGTGGTTTCCCCATTTTGTGAAGAACGAGACTACTCCACGAAAAACTCCATAATGAGCTTTCGGTTTGATTTTACTATTCAATTTGCTGCTCTCCACAAGCTACC